GACCGTTCTACTATATTAAACACTGTTAACCACTGACTTGCTGCTCTTGGAAAAATTTAAATAATTTTTAATTTATTGATTGGTGAGAAAGAGAAATCAATTTGTTGTGCTACTCATTTATGCATTTATTGGTTGATTCTTATATGTGCCCAGACTGAGGTTTGAACCTGCAACCTATGCGTATAGGAAAACACTCTAACCAACTGAGCTCCATGGCCACGGCAGAAATATTTTTTTATCCTTTCCCTTCAGCTCATTAACTCTTGTCTCCTTGCCTTCTCTTTATAACCCTGACAACTCCTTCCTGGTCTTCACAAGCATCTCTTCCCAGGGCCTGCCTGCCCTTTAATTTTTTCTCAAAGGAAAATATTAGTTTTTTTTCTGATTAAAAAAATAACATGCTTACAGTTTTAAAAATTATGAATAAAAACATAAAATCCAACTGAGACCCCACTACACAGAGGTAACCACTGACAACATTTTGATTTATATCTTTCTAATCTTTAAAAATGATAATATTCAGTAATACAAATATTACCATATTACAATACGTTTACCAGCTTTTTTCACTTTTTCATGAGCATCACTTCATATCAACGAGCATAAAACATTATTTGAAATGGATACAAAGGAGAATCCTGAATTTGGCCACTTACACAAAAGACTGAGTTTTATTTATTTATTTTTAAATTTTTATTTATATTGCCTAGTTGGAGTGGCTCAGTGGTTGAGTCTCGACCTATGAACTAGGAGGTCACAGGTTCTATTCAGGGTCGGGGCACATGCCCGGGTTGCAGGCTCCATTCCACTGTAGGAGGCGTGTAGGAGGCAGTCAATTAATCATTCTCTTTCAGCATTGATGTTTCTCTCTCTTTCCCTTCCTCTTTGAAATCAATTAAAATATAGTTTTTAAAACAAGATTATAAAAACTAAAACTTTATTTTATTCTTGATAGTATTACAGATGTCTCCCATTTTCTTCCTTTTTGCCCCCTCCACCCTACCCTCACCACACCCCAAACCTTCCCATGTTATTGTCTGTGTACATGGTTTATGCATATATGTATAAATGTTCTTTGATTAATCTCTTCCTGTCATCCCCCGACCCCTATTGAGATCTGTTATTCTTTCATGCATCCATATCTCTGGACATATTTTTTGTTTTGTTTTTTCATATATATGTATTTTAAAATTTATATTTATTGTTGAAAGTATTACATATGTTCCCTTTTCCCCCCCTTTGAGGCCCTCCACCCTGCTCCCCTGGAAGGCCTTCACCTCATTATTGTCTGTATCCATGAGTTATGCATATAAGTTTCTTGGTTAATCTCTTCCCATTCCCTCCTTCTCCCTGCCCTCTGAGATTCATCAGTCTGTTCCATGCATCCAAGCCTCTGGATCTATTTTGCTTGTCAGTTTATTTTGTTTATTAGACTCCACATATAGTGAGATCACGTGGTACTAATCTTTCTCTGTCTTATTTTGCTTAGCATAATACTCTCCAGGTCCATCCATGCTGTATCAAAGGGTAAGAGCTTCTTGTTTTTTGTAGCCGCATAGTATTTCATGGAGTAAATATTTTTTATCCACTCATCTATTGATGGGCACTTGAGCTGTTTCCAGATCGTAGGTATTGTAAATAACGCTGCTATGAACATAGGGGTGCATATATTCTTTCTGATTGATGTTTTTGGATTCCTAGGATATATTCCCAGAAGTGGGATCACCAGGTCAAAGGGCAGATACATTTGAAGTTTTTGAAGAATCTCCATACTGTAATCCACAGTGGTTGTACCAGTCTGCATTCCCACCAAGAGTGCACGAGGGTTCCCTTTTCTCCACATCCTCGCCAGCACTTGTTGTTCAAGAGACTGAATTTTATGATAGAAGTGACTGAAATACAAAATCTGTAAAATATAGAACCCACTACTCCTTTGTAAGACCTGTCATATAAATAAATTCACAAATTAGAAAAAAATGGCTTTTAAATATTACATTATATAAAATGAACAATTATTTACTTGTAAAGAAAAGATTGGTATTCTGTTATCTTTGTGTGATTATCTGATTATTTTCTCAGAATAAATTATTATTTTTTTTTAAATTTATCTTTATTGTTGAAAGTATTACAGATGTCCCCTCTTTACCCCATCAGGATAAATTATTGAAAGTGAAAATTTTGAGTCAAAAGCTTTCAAAAATAACATTAAAATATTTTTAAAATACAAAAATACTTAAACATAAGTGAGGAGAAAATGAAAAACAAATCTCTCTGCTATCTCTGTCTCCTGTTCTCTAGTTGTGCTCTCCAGAGGCAACCAGTATTACAAGTTTCTTGAGGTCAAAGGATTTAAAAAATACATACTGCCAATTTGCCTCCCAGAAAGATTGTACAGATTTACACTCTTATCAACTCTGCATGCCTTCACCAATATTAAACCCTCTGTCCTTATCTCTACACATTTTCCCTACGCCAGTGGTCAGCAAACTCATTACTCAACAGAGCCAAATATCAACAGTACAATGATTGAAATTTCTTTTGAGAGCCAAATTTTTAAAACTTAAACTTCTTCTAACACCACTTCTTCAAAATAGACTCGCCCAGGCCGTGGTATTTTGTGGAAGATCCACACTCAAGGGGCCAAAGAGCCACATGTGGCTTGCGAGCCACAGTTTGCCAATCACAGCCCTATGCTGACTCCCAAATCTCTGTCTAACCCTAATCACCCTTTGAGCTCCAGGCCAGTATTTCCAGCTGCCTGCTGACAATCTCAACCTGGATATCATATAGACACCCAGATTTATCTAAACTGAGCTCATTGTCTCTCTTCTCAAATGTACGTTCTCTAATTTCAATATTCAGTGTTCCTTGGTGGTGCCAGCATCCATCTAGTTACCTAAATCAGAAACCTATGAGTCATTTTCTTTTTTTTTTCTTTTTTTTAATATATATATTTTATTGATTTTGTACAAAGAGGAAGGGAGAGAGAGAGAGAGTTAGAAACATCAATGAGAGAGAGTCATTGATCAGCTGCCTCCTGCACACCCCCTGCTGGGGATATGCTCGCACCAAGGTACATGCCCTTGACCGGAATCGAACCTGGGACCTTTCAGTCCCCAAGCTGACGCTCTATCCATTGAGCCAAACCGGTTTCGGCCCTATGAGTCATTTTCAATTTCCTTCTCCCCTCAATAATAGCTAATTGTTACTGAACATTTGCACATATTTTACTTTATTGAATTCTCATAAAAGTTCCAGAAGTAGCTTTTATTTTTATAATTTCCATTTTACAGATAAGGAAAACTGCTTGGATAACTTGCTCAATGTTATACAGCTAGGAAGCAGGGCTTTAAACCCACGTAGCCCAAGTCCATAGCTCATATGCTTAAGCGCTTACTACGTCTACTCAGTTACAATTCCTATCTATTTTATTTCTTCCATCTCAGTGCTATCTCTTCCCTTTTCTCCATTCCCGAAGTCACCACCTATTCCAAGTGTTATTGGCGATGCTCTCATAATTAGCCACATTTGATTCAAATGTCTCTTCCATGTTGCCTGAAAAATAATCCTTGTAAAACACAAATCTGATGATGTCTTTTTCCTGTGAAGATACTTCAGTGTTTCCCTATCATCATAAAGCCAGAGATAGTTTGCTTAATAAAGAAGGATCACTCTCATCTGCCCATCCCTAACCAGCCTACTTCTCTAAGATCTTCCATAACATCCTTTGAATTGATAATTGCTTAAAATAATCATGCTGTAGTTTATCAGATGACTTTGCATGTTACCCTCTCTGCAGAAAATTACCTTTCCCTGTTTCCACTATGATTTATCCTTTATGTGTGTTCATGTGTGTCAAACTCAGATGTTTCCTTCTCCTGGAAGTCTTCCCTAATTCTTCCAAGTATTCATGTCCTATGTGCTGCTTTGAACATTCACTTATTTTGTATTTGTCACACTATGTTAGTTTTATTTACTCCTCTCCTTTTCTAGAATGTTAACTCTTTGAGGGCAGTGACTCTCTTATTCAACTCTAGGTCTTTAGTGTTTAGCATGGTGCCTGGCACATAGTAGTTGCTTAACAGATATTGGGTAAGTTGAATTAAATAACTTGTGGCATTATAGGGCCTTGTACTCTGTTGAAAGAATTTCAGTCATCAGTGATACAGGACATTTTTTTCTGAGCAGAAGGCAGGTGCAGGGAGGGAAGAATGACCTAAAATCACCACCTTTAATGTGGGGCACTATTCCTTCATGTGGGCCATATCTAAGTTAGTCATATATTCATGTTTCTATAGACAGTCTCATGTAGACACATATTCTATCTCCATTATGGGCTGCAAGTAACCTCATAGTGCCAAGTATGGAGTTCTGCAGAGTAGAGATGGAGAGTATGAAATGCCCTCAAGTTGCTGAGAAACATATCTGAATACAGGTTGGGTTCACTTTTATGTGGTCACAAATTGAGGATGAAGATATGCCCAAATTTTCCCGAAAAGTTAGAATAAGAAATCATCTTTGTTCACCCTATCCTCGCTGCTTCCCTGGTACCAAAGATAGCACTCAACTGCCCCTGGCGGGAGCTGAAACTATCAGTGGCACGAGAAGCAGGGCTGCGTTTTAGGTTCTCACTACTGTTGTGGGGACCCCGCCCTCTGGAGACCACCCTTCTACTTGCGCACAAAACCCTGACCTATTCAGGTCACGGAGTTTCGGCTTATCACTGTAGGACCCTAGCGTGCAGGGCAGTGCCCACTGCTGATTGACACATGCCCAGTCTAAGACAATCTTTTGGGTTGAGGAGCAGCGATTGGCGCGTCCCGCCAGTAGTACCTCCCAGGACACTGAGTGGCGCATTCTGGGCCACAAACACCGCCCGGAAGTCTGAAGGAAGTCTCCGCAGCACAGGACTCCCAGCCTTCAGCGAGGCTGCTATTCAGGGTCGGCGCGGTGCCGGGCGACGTGCGCGCCTGTACGTGAGCACGTCGTGCGTGGGCGCGCGCGTGCGCGGTGCCGCAGTCTGTGGGTTGGCTGGTGATTTTGCAAGCGGGAGGGGCCCTGCGCGCTCCTGCCTCCGGCCTGTGTCCCCCACCCCCCTTCCGTCGTCCCGGTCTCTCCTTCAGAAAGATGTCGGACACTGCCGTAGCCGACACTCGGCGCCTTAACTCGAAGCCACAGGACCTGACCGATGCTTACGGGCCGCCAAGTAACTTCCTGGAGATCGACATCTTTAATCCGCAGACGGTGGGCGTGGGCCGCGCGCGCTTCACCACCTATGAGGTTCGCATGCGGGTGAGTCACGGGGTGAGGGAGACAGCTGAGGGGAGGACCGGCCTGCTGGGCGGGGAGGGCGGGGCGGGGGGAGACTGCCGCGGGGCCTCCTAACGGTGCCGAAGACGCTTGAAGGGGTCTTTGGCGGCTCGGGGCTGTATAGGTTTGGAGGGAGGTCTGTAGACTCGGCTGTGATCCGAGGTTACAGAAAACCGGAGGGGATATCTGACCGGGGTGAGGGAAAACAAGTACCCCTGAGCAAGAAGTGAAGCATGTCAGACACGGTGGGGTGGATGGTGAAGCTTGAGTGAGCAATGTAAGGAAATAGGAATCGGGACTGTAGCCACAGAGGAGGGAGGGAAACGTGGAAGAGGGATGGGGGATAGAAAGCCAAGGTGAGATATCGCTGGGTCTCCTAACTAAATTAGGTTGTGGGAAGTTAGTCTGAAGAGGGAGGACAGGAAGGCCCGGCTTCTACCTAATGAGGTCTTCCTGAGCTGATAAAGTTAAGCAAAGCTTGGATTAAAGGGAAGATAAGATTCCAGGAAAGACAGTGGGCTTGGTGGAGCAGGAATAATAAAGGGAGTCTCCTTGAGCCTGAGTGCTTCCCAGACTTGTGTAGAATTAGCTTCTGAAGGAGAAGTGTTTTCAGTTTAAGTTTTCTCAGGTACCACATGCTGTTTCTCAGTGTGAAACCTGGCCTTGCACTGGGATTAGTGGATTGTCAGTCGCTGCTCTCATGCTGTGCTTAACCTCTAGATTTGAAGTATACGGAATGTTCATTTCAATATTTATTGGCTTTCAATTGTTTGTTTTTGTGTGTGTATATGAATGGCCATTTGCCCTTTCTGTCCTAGATTAACCTTTGGATTCAGACCCTGGTCTGTAGTTACTTTAATTTATGACATTTCAGGACTGCCCCAGGAGTGGCTTCTTCCAGTGTACTTTATTCTCCAGTTCTTAGTCCACAATGCAAGGATGGAATGTGCAGGTAGAGTACATGGTTTGCAGGTTCTTTGCCAGTTGAAGTGGTTATAGGCAAAAGAGTTTGAGAATCCTTTTCTAATTCTCCTTATGTTTTCTTCTCAGACTAGAGGGCCAGAATATTCTCTGTGGACATCATGCTGCTCAAACAGCATTTGAAGACCTAAAAGAGTGTATGTGTTTTCATTTTTGAATGAATGAATTGAAAGAGAGCATGTGCTCTCCTACCTGGCCATTGAAATCTAATTGAGAAATGATGATCTCCAAATTCCAAGTTTGATAAAGTTCAAACTGAAGAAAGAAAAATGAATATATATATATATATATAGAGAGAGAGAGAGAGAGAGAGAGAGAGAGAGAGAGAGAGAGCGTGCGCGCGCGCGAGCATGCGCGAGAACGCTCATCTATACAAGAACTATTTGAAATCATCATTTTGGGGAAGAATGGAACTTAGATCCCTCAAAATATGGTAAAAGCTAGGAAGCCTGGGTATAACTTGTTCAGTGTAAGGCCTCTGCTATGGAATTTTGGATGAACCAGCTCTCTACCTCAGGCATTATAACAACAGGGACTGTTCATCTAATGTAGTGGTTCTCAACCTTTCTAATGCCACTAGCTTTTAATATAGTTCCTCTTGTTGTGGTGACCCCCAACCATAAAATTATTTTCCTTGCTACTTCATAAATGTAATTTTGCTACCAGTGGTCTTAGGCTCTACTGCAGCAGTTCTCAACCTGTGGGTCACGACCGACAGGTTGAGAACCACTAGTAGGGTTGCCTAAGACCATCGGGAAACAGATATTTACATTACGATTCATAACAGCAAAATTACAGTTATGAAATAGCAACAAATATAATTTTATGGTTGGGAGTCACCACAACATGAGGAACTGTATTAAAGGGTCACGGCATTAGAAAGGTTGAGAATCACTGATCTAATGCCTACTATGTGCCCGGCACTGAATTAGGGTTTAGATTCCAAATCTTTACAAAAAACATTTTACAATTGGGAAACTGAGGAGGAATGCAGCTTAAGTAACTTGTCCAAATATACATAGCTAATAAGTAGCAGGGCTGGGATATGAACCCAGTTCTGTCTGACTCTAAAGCCCATCATACTCTTTCCACTTCTTTGGCAATGCTTAGTCGCAAAACTTTAGTGTGCCGAGTTTTTCTACCAACTAAACTTCTTATCATTCCTTTCCACAATGTCTAATTATATGGCGGTAATAGGGTTGGTGGCAGTTCCTAGTTCTGTGGGTTTGAGTTAAGTTGTGTTGTTTATGAGAGTATGTATAGCTATAAAGCAAGCATGTCAAACTCAAAGGCTAACACGAGCCAAATTAAGTTTATGTGGGCCACAAAACACACACAAAAGCTTTAAATTTCATAGAAACGTAGGTTTATTTCAGTAGAGACATGCTGAATGCAAAGGGCTAAAATAAACGAGTAATCATTAACATAAAATAATAGAATATTTTAATAAAATTAATATTTTTCTTTTTTAAAATTTATTTTATTGATTTTTTTTTAGAGAGGAAGGGAGAAGAATAGAGAGCTAGAAACATCGATGAGAGAGAAACATCAATCAGCTGCCTCCTGCACACCTCCCACTGTGGATGTGCCCACAACCAAGGTACATGCCCTTGACTGGAATGGAACCTGGGATCCTTGAGTCCACAGGCTGACGCTCTATCCACTGAGCCAAACCAGTTAGAACTAATATTTTTTCTTGAACATTAACTTACCAGACACTGCATAACTGCACAAATTAATAAGCGTAACGCAAATAAACTTATTTTTCTTGTTCTCTGAAAGTGGAATATTTCCTGTTGCACATACCAAATAATTCAGTACAAGACTAATGATGTGGCAATCGGCTGCTAAAATATTCGCTGCTAGTATTAGTGGAGAGAAATGGTGCGCCTGTGTGTAAGGGAAATGAATGCAACGTGATTATAGTAATGAGTCATTAGCAAATGATGTAGTTTGTTAATAATTATGTATAATAGGATATTGTAAAAATTAAGCTATAGATTTTTATTAAAATGTTTATTACATACTGTTATATTGTTTGCACCGCAAATATATTCATGTGGGCTGCAAGTTTGACATGCTTGCTATAGAGGCTTTTAATGTTTTGAACTCTGGGGGAAAAGTTGCTAACATAATTTGGTTTTAAATTGCTATTTTAAATGATTGATCATGGTAGGCATTTTAGAGTGCATGAGATTCAGAGAGTAGGACTTTGGGAGTTAGGCATTGTGAATAGAAGAAGCAGATGGCACCAACTCTTTTTCTTTGTATAAAAGCTGTTCTCTTTCATTTTGCTTCGTAAAGAATTCTTTCCCTTCCATTCCCCCAAAGAAGTGAAGAGTTTGGAGAGGTGTCCGGGTGACTTGACATGATGTGTTTGGAGATTTTCAAATGTTATTTGTCCTGCAGACTTGAACTTTTCATCTTCTCCCCTATCCATTGACTGTGTTGATCAGAGCCGAAGGACTCTATAATCTATACTACACAATCCTGTCATGATTTGTAGGTTGGAGCTGGGAGACTATCCAATATAATAAAAACCTAATACTCAAATTCTCCCGGTGGGCGGTCATTCGACCGGAAGTTTCATCGGGAGTTCAACCACTCACTGTGATGTACGCTGACCATCAGGGGGCAGAGTAGAACATGGCGGGCGTCAGCCACGTGGCGCTGGCAGCAGGAAGCAGTGAGGAGAGCGGGATGGTGGAACAGGTGAGCGGGCGGTGCCAGAGCAAGGTGGGTGCAAGTGGTTGGGGAGGCGGGGGGCGGAGCCGCTGCTTGACTCCCAGGTGCTGAGGGAGCTAGGCAGGGGGCCCCCCAGCCCTGATCGCCCAGCAGGTGGGATGGTGGAGCAGGTGAGGGGGTGGTGGCAGGCCAAGGCAGGGTGCAGGCAGGACTGCGGGGCTGTGAGGCTGGGGGTGCAAGCTGGTGCCTGATATCTGCAGGCCACCCTGAGGGACCCCATCCACACATGAATTTATGCACTGGGCCCCTAGTCCTAGAAAATAGCCCTTTCCTTAGACAGCTAGGTGCTGAGTTGAAAGGTCATTATTGTCACCATCCTGTGGGGGTAAGGGAAAGAATAGGATTTTTGTGAGTCAAAGGAGGAAGTTTACAGAATGGTAGTGGATGGTTTGGTTGTCTGGGAAGAATCTACTCAGCTTTTTTTTTGGGTCCTTTTTTAAAAAATATATTTTTATTGATTTTAGAGAGGAAGGGAGAGGTAGAGAGAGTAGAAACATCAATGATGAGACTCATTGATCAGCTGCCTCCTTCACGACCCCCACTGGGTATCAAACTGTGACCTCCTGGTTCATAGGTCCATGCTCAACCACTGAGCAACACTGGCCAAGCTAGCTTTTCTTGCAGGATTATTTCACCCCCTCCAGTTTTATTGAGATATAATTGACATTGTATAAACTTAACTTTTAAATGTGATGATTTGATACACATATTTTTTCTTGCAGGATTCTGAGATTTATCTTGAATAGTTAACATAGGCACATAGTACAAAAATGAAAAGATATAAAAAAGATATGCTATAAAAATTAAGCCTTCTTCTGCCCTCCAGAGGTTCTTCTTTTTGAAGAGACTACTGTTTCCAGTTTTTTATTTATTCTTCTAAAGGACAGTTTAGATAATAAAATACTACTTTATATGTATCCACTCTACTTTAACTCATTGACATTCATTCCTTGGGTAAACTTGCAACTAATGTATATTGGCCAGTTATTTGGCTTTTGATGACTTATATCTAGATCTGGATCCTGAAAAGGTAATTTCCAGGTTTGAGGATTACAAAGCATAATGTAGTGGACTTTATGAAGCTCTAGCATAGCTCCAAGATGCTCTATTCCTGACCTTAGGCAGTTGTGGAGAAATATAAATTAGTTCCTTTTCTTTCCATCTGCTGATCTGAATTGGCTTGTAGGAAATATAGTCAGCATTAATACAAGTGGTTGGCCATTTCCATTTGGAACTTCTAGACAAGAGTTAGAATC